ACCTTGGAAAACAAATTTGCATGTATTTTAGAGAAAACATAAATCCAAGGTTTCTAAGGTTGCATGTGCACCACAGGAGTGTTAGTATGCTCAAAACCCATCAGAAAATGGAACCAAAATGACATGCATGGATTCAAAACTCAACCAAAATTCAGATCCAAAGCATATAACCTTCAAGGGACTACAAAGATCCATAAAGCTGCCAACTTTATGGAATCCATCCATCCAAAATTTCCCAAATGTGGATAAAATTGACAAAAATCATAGATCTAGAAGCCTAATGCATAAAGATTGGAACTTGATTGTAATGTCCCAAAAATAAGACCTAAATATTTCATTTTTAATCTAAATAAAATGGTATTTCAAAACATTTTCATACAACCAAGATACACCAAAGTATATCCTTACATCATATCATATCAGAATAAATCACAAAATGCGGAATAAGGTGGTGTGTGCTCTGCAATCACCCCGGGCTCTTCCCTTTCGAACCAAAAGTACCTGAAACATAAACTGAACACCATAAGCACAAAGCTTAGTGAGTTCCCCAAAATACCCCATACCATACATAACAAACATATACTAGGCCCCCGCCCTTCATCGGGCCCCGTGTGACAACCTGTAAATTTTATTCTTGTATAAGTCAATCTTAGTCAACGAAAGTCAAAACATATTAATTAAAGGTCAAATTTAATTCTTAAATTACCTTAAAATAGTTAGAGTAATAAGTTATAGATTAATGGACTTTGTATTCAGAGTGTAATGTGTCAAGGAGGAAAATCCCTTAGGAACCGAGAACCTTTGCCCGAGCCACAAACCTTGCAGCCGCAAACCTCGGTTCACAGCCGCACACTCGGTCGCAGACTTCGGGCTGCAAACCCACCTCGAAGTCGTGAATTGTCCTCGGCCGTGAACCCTCCATTGGACCGTACACTCCTCCCTATATATATATATATATATATATATATATATATATATATATATATATATATATATATATATATGTGTGTGTGTGTGTGTGTGTGTGTGTGTGTGTGGCTAATTTTATCCTCATTTCTTCATCTCTGGCTGAAAACACACTCTTTTTCTCTCTAGATCTTCAAATGAAAACTCTTAATTCCTTCTCAAATATCATCCTTCTTCCTAGGGGTGTTCGCGGTTCGGTTTGAAATCGGCCAAACCGATCATCGGTTTGGTTTTACAGTTTGTATTTTTCTTTACAGCTTGACTTGCGGTTTCAAACTTTTCAAACCGTATTGAACTGTGACAACCCGAAGTTCGTTCCATCAATTGTAACCCTTTTCGTTAATATATTCGTCGTTTTCGATTTCGTTTACGTCACGTCATTTAATTAAGTCATAATTGTGGGACTTCTATTATGACTTAATGAGTGTCTAAACATGTTTAGAACTCATATTAACACTTCATATTAGTAATCAAAAACATTTTAGAATCGACCATATCGGGTTTCGGTAACTTAATCGGGTGCGACCAAAAGCATCGTATAACACTGGTATCGGGCAGAATTCCACCTTGTCCAAAACTTAGAACCTATTTAAAGAGGTTTAAGCTTCCATTTGAATCTTTCTCTCTCTCTCTCTCTCTCACACTACTCTCTCTCTAACCTTTCTCCCCAATTCAAATTCAAGGTCCAAAAACATCAATTTAAGGCTCAAATCCATCAACGTAACTTCCCTAACTCATAGTATAGCACCTTTAGCCTTCAAATCCGAGTTCAAATAATCAATTAGGACCATTTTCATGTACGGCCCTGGAACATGCTTGGGCCGTAAACACACATTTAAGGGGTTTTTGAGCCTTTAAACCTTTCTAAACCAACTTTGGGACTTAGATATGACTTTATGGCTTACCATTTCGGACTTGGAACTCCTTAAACATGGTTTTTGAGGAATAAACATGAGTTTACTGCTCAAGAACATGCTTGGGCCATAAACTCATATTCATGGGGAGTAAACTCAAATCCAAGTGTTTAAAAAATCCACTTAAACACACCAATGGCCTTGGAATAAATTCTAGAACCAACCACAATCGATTTTGGGGCCTTAAACTTGATGAAAACAATCCCATCGATTTTGTGCTCAAGATGTCCACAACATGGGATTACAGAATATCAGTTGCTGCAGTATTTTTGTGAAGGAATGTCATCTTGGGATAGGAGATTACTCAATGCATCAAGTGGTGGATCTATAGCTGATAAGACTCCAACAGAAATCAGAGTTCTTATAAAAAACCTGGCAGAAGAGTCCAAGCATACAGTCCAAGAAGAAGAGTGGTATAGTGATGCACCAAGGGGGGTGAAAGAAATTTCTACTCCAAAAATTGAAAGTCAACTTTCTGAGTTGACTAAGGTAGTAATGATGCTTGCAAAAGATAAGGGCGTGCAACCGCCAATAGTCAGACCTTGTGGCATTTGTACACAAGTTGGACATCCCACTGATATGTGCCCCATGTTACAAGAAGATGTAGAGCCAGTTCAAGCTATGGGATTTTCAAGTCAACAACAAGGAAACTTCCAGCCAAGAAGCAATCCAAATTGGCACCAACCTAATACCAATTTTCAGCCTAGACCACCACCTTATCAACCAAGACCCCTATTTCAAAATCAAATGCACCATCAACAAAATTATCAACCACATTTCCAACCAACTCAACCTCCTCATCAATCTCAATATCAACCTCAAAACATGCATCAAGGAAGTAGTTCAAGCGGATCGGGAATGTCTTTGGAAGAAATTGTTAAGAGTTTAGCCACAAGTACTCAAACATTTCAAAATGAGACCAAAGCGAGCATCAAGACTTTGGAGCAACAAATGACTCAACTCGCCACATCTGTGAGTAAATTGGAGTCACAAGGCAAACTACCCGCGCAAACTGAGAAGAATCCAAAACATAGTGTGTGTGCCATCACATTGAGAGACGGGAAAAGCTATGATGGTCCAAAATTTTTGGTTGATCAAAAAGAAGATGAAATAGTGGTTGAAGAGGCAACCAAAGAAGATAAGGAGGAAGAGAAAACAAGCGAAAAGAAGCCCTTCATCGTTGAGTCCAAAGTCACACCTGCTCCATTTCCTGAAAGATTAAAGAGCACGAAGAAAGAACGGGAGGAGAATGACATCATGCAAATGTTCAAGAGAGTTCAAATCAACATTCCACTCCTCGAGGTCATCAAGCAGGTACCTAGATACGCAAGGTTCCTTAAGGATCTTTGTATATCTAAAAAGAAATTAAAAGGAAATCAAGTCGTAGCGGTTGGGGAGCATGTATCTGCGGTTTTGCAAAAGAGGATGCCCCCAAAGTGCAAGGATCCCGGTGTCTTTACTGTGCCTTGCAAGTTGGGAAATCTTTATGTACCTCGAGCTATGCTTGATCTAGGTGCATCTGTAAATGTCCTACCATATTCTCTTTTCAAATCAATTGGTGTAGGAACATTGAGCAAAACCGGTGTGATCATCCAACTTGCTGATCGGTCTTTGGTACACCCAAAGGGAGTATTAGAGGACGTGTTAGTGCAAGTCGATGAATTTGTCTTCCCGGCTGATTTTTATGTCTTAGATATGGGAGACGATGACTCTCCAAGTTCAAGTTCCATTCTTTTGGGTAGACCTTTTCTTAAAACTTCTAAAACAAAAATCGATGTCTACAATGGAACCTTGAGTATGGAATTTGATGGTGAAGTTATCAACTTCAATGTGCATGAAGCAAAAAAGACTCCTTTTGATGTTCAATCTGTTAATTTTGTCAATTTGATCCATCCCTCAACAAAAAAGGGTTTGAAATTGTCTAACAATGAATTTCTGGAGTTAGTTTTGTCACGAAAACTAGACAGGGACAAAGCCAAAGAGCTTGCAAAGAAGTTTGATATGGATAATGAAGTGTTGGATATTTTAGAGTTTATTGATGACAAGAAGCATGTGAGGAGTGATGATATGTTAGAGAGGCCCACGTATCGAGACTGAAGCACAAATAGTTGGGGTCCAAGTCGAGCCAACGACATTAAAAAGGGGCGGCTAACCGGGAGGCAACCCGGGGGTATTTTTGTCATTTAGTATATTTTCATTATATTTTCTTTGTTTTCAAACTTCCAAGTTGTTTTTCATGCTAAAAAAGGGTTAAAAATCATTTTTCGGGCAGTAGAGGTTTAGCGGGTTGCAATTTCAAAAAGTGAAAAAAATCAAGTTTTTTGGCTTTCTCAGAAGTTTTCACGGCCGTGTAAACTTATGCCTTGCATTTACACGGGCCGTGTAAACGATTGAACGCGGTTTTTATGATTTAGGGATTTACACGGCCGTGTAAACCCTCCCCTTTGATTTACAGGGGCGTGTAAACGCAAAAACAGGACTGAACAATTTTAAGGTCAAATCTCGATTTTTCTAACTCATTCTTCACTCAATACCTGCGATTCCCTCTCTCCCTACTGCCCCCTTTCGAAAAAAAGCCTTCCAAATACTCAATCTTCCTCAATTTTGCATCAAAAATCAAGCTCCAAGGTATGAAATTCCTCCCTTTTCTTCATCTTCTTTATCTTCCACATCTATGTCCTTCTCCCATGGCCGATTTTGGGTTTTTTTTAAACAAAACCCTAGAATTTTTTAACTTCAAATCTCAACCTAATGTTTCAAATTTCTTGTAGGATAAGCTTGGGGATAGCTTGGGGAAGCATTGGATATCATCTTATCACCATTATCAAGCACAAATTGGTATAATTGTTCCAAACTCTTACTTTGTGCATTTAGATAGAACACATTCTTTTTTTTGGGTGTTTTTGGTGAAACTTGCTACTTCTTGTACTTCAATTGTCTTAATTGTGTGCAATATTTTGTTGATTCATTTGGGTTATGGCTTCCCGGGGTAAAAGACATAGAGTTGGAACTTCACATGATGAACAAGACCCACATGCCATAGACAACCCCTATGAATTTGGTCTTATTTTTTAGAACAATCGACAGGAAATCTTGTATGCAAATCTTGTTACAAGAACAATGGGTGCTCAAAAATTTGTGGACATCCAGGCCCTCAAAGATTTACACATATACAAGGGTGTTCACAAGCTTTTTAAAAACATAGGATGGGAGGGTCTTTTGAATCTTCATGCAGTTAGTTACCAAACACCGATGTTGGAACTTTTGTCTTCCATTTCCTTTGACTATCAAACCCATCTCCTAACTTTCCGTCTGCTCAACCAAACGCATCAATTTCATGCTGATATCCTTTGTGATATAATTGGTGCTCCTAAAGCAAGAAGGGATATATACACAGCTAAGGGTAGAAAAAATGTTGTTTTTGAGCAAGACTGCGCAAATTTTTGGAGAAACATCTCTTGTGAGTATGAGTATCAATCGGGCACCGCAAAAGCTTCTAGCATTATCCATCCGATCTTGAAAGTAGCTCACCGGATCATTTCTTCTCTCTTATTCCCTCAAGAAGAGATTAGCAAAGCTAATAAAAAAGAGCTAGAAGTCTTGTGGTGTATGATTAACAAGCCTGCAGAAGTCCCTCATTTTGGTTGTTGGGTTATTCAAAAAATGCTCAGAAGTGCTACGAGCAATGGTGGACAGCTACATTGTGGAGGCATGGTTTCTATTATTGTAGAGCATCTTGGCCTCCATCTACCTAATAACCCAACAAACATCATCATGGGCCGTACTCATCTATCAATTGATGTTATGGAAACAATGCATCTTTTCCACCGCCTTCCCACTGGGGATATTCATTGGACAGTAGATGGGAAAGAGTATCTACGTATAGACAGCAGAAATAAGAAGATACTCAATTTAGCCAATGATATTCCATCAACTAATTGGAAACTCAAATCCAACTTAGGTGTTACAGTAGATCATAGTCCTCCATCCTCTCCTCCTCCTGCTCCTCCTGCTCCTACTGCTGGTGCTTCTAGTTCCTCTCGCCCTATTCCTTTTTCTGAACATAATCTTTATACAGAACACATTATCATGTTATTTGTGAAATACAGAACACATTATCATGTTATTTGTGAAATACATTATAAATTGTTGTATTTATATTTTCACAAATGTTTTCCCACACTATAACAGATAAAAGCATAACATTTTAACTTAGAACATTGTTTTGTCCTCGGTAACACTCCACAGAGATACGCGAGTGGAGGATAGTCATTTGATCTTTCAGTATTATTACTAGTAAATTTGTTATTCCTATAAATTGGAGACACATCCTCGGTGAACACTCCACGGAGATACACGAGTGGAGGATCGCCCCCGTAACCAGAATCTCTTAGATAGGGAGCGTGACTTGAGTGTATAGATCTATACGGGGTTGACTACCCCACACCTGGCTGCTAGCTACAGCCGAACCGAAAGGTTCAAGGGTGACGAAAGTCATAAGGATGTGGACTACATATTGCCATATCTAGTCTATTGTATGGTTATGGAACTCGCAATTTGGATAACAGAGATTTACATTTTAGTAATAATGGGTTTAGTAACTAGTTTACTTGGTATTTAGTAGTTTTATAAACGTGTTAAAACTAATACATTTTCAGTGTGCATCTTTTACATTACATTTCGGGTTGGTAAACTAACACACACTCTACAAGGATGACCAGGTTTTCAGTATACATCTTTCACATTAGCAAAATATGGGATTTTCCTGGGATCACAGTTAAAAAAAACCAGAACTGTGTAACCTAACAGTTAACCAAACATTATATTTAAGAAAATATGGGATTTTCTTGGGTCATGACATTTTCAGAAACCAAAAGGAAACTCATACATTTTCAAAAAACAAAACCGCTTATGAACCCACCAGCTTTGTGCTAATTTTCAAACTGCTTGTATTCTCAGGTCTGCATTAGACAGGTACCCGATGATCCCTTTTGGCAATGACAGAGTGCGTAGAAGACTCGTCTTACTTTTGTTCATATATACTATGTATCACAAATGTACAACTTTACTTTTGAACAAATGTAAACTTTGATATGTAATGTAATGGTTGTTTACTTTGCTTACTATGTGCTTTGGATTTGATACTCAACGTGGAGTCCGCCCCGGAAATGTTTCCGCCTTCGGTTTTCGGGGTGTGACAGATTGGTATCAGAGCCCTTGTTTATAGTGAATGAAGTATACCAAACATTAAATGGTATAAAACTATAAACACTAAGGGGCCTAAGTGCTCTGAACTAAAAGTATCCTTCAAAGTATAAGTATTTTCAAAAGTATACAAGTATACCTAACCGTCGAGATCCGTAACTACAAGTAGGACAAAACATAAGTAAATGGGTGATGCATGTTGCGGTTAAACCTGGGTAGTTATGTAGTCGTGTCTAGGATCAATATAGCCTGGCCAACTATATTCATTCGAGAAATGGCCAACATGTGCTTGGGAGTGACTGTGGTGTGCGGCATGCCTAAAACTTACCCTAATATCCCAAACAGCGAACCGTGGTCGTAGCGAATCATGAAATATTATGGGCGTATTTCTCGAGCCAATCCTTTGTAGAAAACCTCATTTAAGCATTGTTCCCTGATCATTCCTTTAGCGATAAATTATCTGTTTTGATAACTCTTTCCTGCTTTATCGCTTATTTGGAATATATATTTGTCATATCTCTCGATTCAATTCGGAGGACTTATCATCCTCTCTTTCCTGATCTTATTATATCAAGATGCCTCCATGAAAGAGACCCAACTCAAAGACCAACGACCCTCCGCCACCACCTTCTCCTCAAATTGACCTCGTAACGCTTCAAACAGCCACTACTCCCGCAGTGACAGCCACCGTGTCACAAATGAACCCTAGTAGTTCATGAGGTGGTTCCCAACCCCAAAACTTAGAAGATAGTCAAGGAGACCGAAAAGGGGGTTCTTATAAAGATTTCATGAGCGCAAAACCCACTTGCTTTGATGGCACTGGAGGTGTCATTTCCCTCACTCGATGGTTCGAGAAAACCGAATCCATATTCGAGATCTGTGCTTGTTCGGAGTCCGATAAAGTAAAGTTCGCAGCCTGTACCTTCAGCGACAAAGCCCTGACTTGGTGGAACAACCAAGTCAAATCCCTGACCCTACCTGTAGCCAATGCTATGGGTTGGGAAGCCATGAAAGAACTCCTTCTGGCTGAGTACTGCCCTCGGGGAGAAATACAAAAGTTAGAGCACGAACTCTGGAACCTGAAGATGAAGGGTTTTGATATTGTTGCATACACCTCGAGGTTTGATGACCTGGCACTACTCTGTCCAGGAATGGTTACCCCGGAGAGTACGAAAATAGAGAGGTTTATTTGGGGGTTGACCCAACTAACCAAAGGAAACGTCTTATCTGCAAGGCTGGATACATATGATATTGCCAAAAGTTTAGCCCAGATGCTGATTGACCACAGTGATGAAGTTGAGGGAACAACCGCCACCCCCGAACCGACCCAGAATAGTGGTGAAGAGAGGAAGTTCTGGAAGAAGAAGAAAGGCCAACCTTCCCACGGATCCTCAAATAAATAGCAGACTGTAGCAGTCCATGCTGCTACTACCCCCGTTGCTGCTGCTTCTGCTGTGGGATGTATAGCTCAAACCCCTACCAATAGGTATGCTGGCACCCTTCTCCAGTGTGAAAAGTGCAAATATCACCATAACCTTGGCCCCTGCCGCGAGCTATCATGCACTAACTGTGGGAAAAAGGGGCACACGGTCCGATTCTGCAAGGCACCAGCCCAATCTTCAAATCAATCATCTGGAGTAGGTGTTGGTCAAGCCTGCTATAATTGTGGAGAAGTTGGGCATTACAAGAGGAACTGCCCCAAGAAGGCGACAGATGATAATACCGGGAGAGTCCTAGCCATGGGACGGGAGGAGACAGTCGCCGATCCCACTGTTGTTTCGGGTACGTTCCTTCTCGACAACTCTTATGCTAGTATTCTTTTCGATTCGGGTGCTGAAAGAAGTTTTGTTAGTCATTCGTTAAAACATAATCTAAAATCTAATCCCCAACCATTAACCGAAACGTTTACCGTCGAGATGGCTAACGGTGAGAAAGAAAGCGCTAGCGATGTATTCAAAGGTTGTACCCTTACCCTGAACGATCATTCATTTCCCATCGATCTTATGCCAGTTTCCATTAAGAGCTTTGATGGTATCATTGGCATGGATTGGTTGAGTCTCAATCATGCTGATATTCTTTGCTACGAAAAAACCATCCGTCTCAACCTTCCTTCGGGTCAAACTCTCATAATCTATGGCGATAAACTCAGCTCCAACCTTCGCATCATTTCCTGCATCAAAGCTCAGAAACTCTTCCGAAAGGAGTGGCGAGCACTCCTAGCCCATTTCATTAACGAGAAAAAGGAAATTAAAGACCTCGTGAGCATCCCCGTTGTCTGTAACTTTCCTGATGTCTTTCTAGAAGAGCTTCCAGGACTTCCTCCCGAACATCAGGTCGAATTTCGTATTGACCTAATTCCTGGAGCTACGCCCGTAGCCAAGTCTCCATATCGCCTAGCTCCAGCAGAAATGCAGGAGTTATCCAGCCAACTCAACGAGTTACTCAGTAAAGGGTTCACAGACCGAGTTCCTCACCCTGGGGAGCTCTGGTTTTATTTGTAAAGAAGAAAGATGGATCCTTCCGGATGTGCATTGACTACCATGAGCTGAACAAGTTGACCGTCAAGAACTGATATCCCCTTCCGCGAATAGATGACCTCTTCGATCAACTTCAGGGAGCCAGTTATTTCTCAAATATTGACCTTCGATCAGGGTACCATCAGTTACGATTCCTTGAGAGTGATGTTTCCGAAACAGCTTTCAGGACTCGGTATGGACACTACGAGTTCGTAGTGATGCCCTTCGGTCTAACCAATGCACCGGATGTGTTCATGGACCTGATGAACCGGGTGTGTCGTCCCTTCTTAGACAAGTTCGTCATCGTGTTCATAGACGACATACTTGTCTACTCCAGAAATGAAGAAGACCACAAGCAACACTTGAGGTTAGTGTTGGAAACCCTTAGATCCGAGAAGCTGTATGCGAAATTTTCCAAGTTTGAATTCTGGATTCGGAAGGTGACTTTCCTCGGTCACGTGGTAAGCGAGGAGGCATTCATGTGGATCCTTCCAAGATTAAAGCGATTGAGATTTGGTCGGCACCAAAGACACCCACATAAATCCGTCAATTCTTGGGTCTCGTCGGCCATTATCGAAGATTCATCCAAAATTTTTCCAAAATCGCCAAACCCCTAACCACTCTAACACAGAAAGGTGTACCCTTTTGTTGGAGTGAAAAACAAGAAACAGTGTTCCAGACGTTAAAGCAAGCCTTGTGTAGCGCACCTGTTCTGTCCCTACCCGAAGGGACAGAAGACTCCGTTGTCTATTGTGATGTGTCTAATCAGGGCTTAGGTTGTGTGCTTATGCAAAGAGGAAAAGTGATTGCTTATGCCTTGAGACAACTAAAAGCACATGAGGTCAACTATACCACGCACGACTTGGAGTTAGGAGCCGTAGTCTTTGAAATGAAGATTTGGAGACATTATCTCTACGGAACCAAGTGTACGATCTTCACCGACCATAAAAACCTGCAGCACATCCTCAATCAGAAAGACCTAAACAAGAGGCAACGGCGATGGGTAGAGCTGCTCAATGATTATGAGTGCGAGATTCACTACCATCCGGCAAGGCCAATGTGGTAGAAGATGCCCTTAGCCGAAAGGAAAGTTCAAGCCGTAAAGTAAGAACACTGACGATGACTATCCATTCCCATTTATCCTTGCAAATCCGAGACGTCCAGATAGAAGCCCTTAAACTTGAGAACAAATCAAGCGAAGCCTTGAGGGGAATGGATAAGAAACTTGAGATCAGAGGTGACGGAGTCTACTGTTTCATGGATCGAATCTGGATTCCAAAGTTCGGAGGATTCAGGGAGATTGTCATGGAGGAAGCACACAAGACCAGATACTCTGTCCACCCAGGTTCGGACAAGATGTACCTAGATCTCAAGAAACAATACTGGTGGCCGAACATGAAAGCTGAGATTGCTACATTCGTGGGCAAGTGCTTAGCTTGCGTCAAGGTGAAAGTTGAGTACCAGAAACCCTCGGGTCTACTCCAGCAACCCGAGATACCCGAGTGGAAATGGGAGATGATTACCATGGATTTCATCACCAAGTTACCCAAGTGTCCGAGTGGGTACGATACCATTTGGGTAATTGTCGATCGTTTGACCAAATCCGTTCACTTCATCCCGATTAAAGAATCGTTTAAGATGGAAAGACTCACACGGATCTACATCCAAGAGGTAGTTCGACTGCACGGTGTACCTGCGTCCCTTATCTCTGATCAAGATAGCAGGTTTACCTCCAAATTTTGGCAGTCTCTTCAGAAGGCTCTTGGAACTAACCTAGACATGAGCACGGCTTATCATCCTCAGACCGACGGACAGAGTGAGAGAACTATCCAAACCCTGGAAGACATGCTTAGGGCATGTGTCATCGATTTCGGCAAATCGTGGGACACACATTTGCCATTAAACGAATTCACGTACAACAACAGTTACCATAGCAGCATCAAGGCTGCTCCGTTTGAAGCCCTCTACGGTCGCAAGTGCATATCCCCTCTGTGCTGGGCCGAGGTATGGGACACGCAGCTAAAGAGTCGTTTTCCCGATAGTGCTCTCACTGGTCCTGAAATCATCCGTGAAACCACCGAAAAGTCATCCAAATCTGGGAAAGATTGAAAGCTTCACGAGATCACCAAAAGAGTTACGCTGACATACGACATAAACCTCTGGAGTTCTAGGTTGGAGACCGTATCCTGTTAAAGGTCTCACCCTGGAAAGGCATGGTACGCTTTGGAAAGCGTGGGAAACTTTACCCG